GTAGAGGATCATAGGAGGCAAGTTGGGCTTTTCTACTGCCTGACTGCTTGTTGAACATAACCGGGTCAAGCAGGGAGGGGCCAGTTTGCCCTTAGCCACAGATCTAGGGCAGTCCTTGTTCTTCATTTCCACAGCTGCCAGTTAGGTGAATTGGTCAGGGGGTCAGTCTCTTGAGCCTGACTTAAGGCTGGGATAGCCCTGTCTTTCTCTGTTGATTATGTGGCGCATATATATATTATTTATATAAATATTCCTATGTACAAGAACAAGAGTGGCTTTCATGGAGGGAGGGAGGCTGGGGGCTGCAAGGCTTCGCCACTGTTGGGGTTGTCCAGTTCAGTGCTGTCACAGTCTGAGTCCTCGGAATTGGGAGGGCCCTGTGAAAAGTAGACATGCAAGGAGGTGTGAGGCTCAGAATCCCTTGTATTGTAGATTCCTTTAGGATCCCTCACTGAAATCTTTGTTATAATAGCCAGCAACTTACTGCTTTTTACTGCCCCCAGATTTTGTTGCTCAGGCCATTCTCCAAGGCATGAGACTCCTAATTTCAGGATTCCTCCCTGGCTGCAATTTCTAGCTACTGTGTAAGCAAGCCTATTGAACTAAATTGCCACACTATAGGCTTCATTCCACCATGTGGATACTGCTCTTTAATATTGGTGAAAACAGGTTCAGGTAGAGTGACTAAAATGCAAAAAACCTATCTTCTGGCCTCTGCATCTATCTCCCCAATAGCTCTCAAATGACCAGGTATCTCTTCCCTGCCCAGTACTGGCTGTTTCTGTTACTCACCTGCTCCCCCCTGAGTAGGTCCTGGTGCTGGATGGGCAAGGAGGGTTCAGGGCCTGTAACCACCTCTGAAGCAGGTTGGTCTAGTGGGATTTCTGATCCCTGGGAGCACATGTCATCAGACCGTTCATCTGGCCGCTCATCAGTGTTGGTACTGCCAACATCAGGTGTGCCACTGGGGGATGGCTCACTAGCTGTGCCTTCCTCCCCATCTGATGGATTCTCTGAGCTGAAGGTAGATAGTGACTGGCGCATGTTCAGGCCCTGAGGCCACCTATAGGTCAGCAAGACACCTATAGCTTGACTGCACTTCTTGCAGCCCAGGAAGCAAAAGAATGTCATTACTTCTTGTGCTCCATCACTCACCTATGGCTTGATGTCAGCTCTACTTCACTGTCTACTTCCCCTTCCTCTTCCTCTGATGATATGCCACGTTTCTGTAGGAGAGATGAATAGACTGGTCAAAAGTGGAAAGAGGTAATGGGCCCAGGGAAGGGGAACATAATTATAAAGCATTAAGGAGGGAATGGCTTACGATAAAGAGCCTGATGTGGGAGGTGAGTTCATGGATTTGGACCCCAGGGAGAAAAAGAACTTAAGAACCCTCATACTTTACCTGACTTCTGGTGACAGCAGCCCTGTACAGTAGTGCAGCTGGGGTCAAGTGCTGGGACCCAGCCCGGCTTCCTCCCCGTCCCGCCGTCCCTTCCCTTCCAGTTCCCAGCAGCCCCACGCCATCACCAGGCCCTACTGGTGGAGGTGGCTCCCCTTTGGCTCCCCCAGGTGAATCCGGGCTGGTGGAGCCAGGTGCTGAGCCCTCACTTGGGGGGGTGTCACCCCGGGCTGGAGGTGGTGAGCCAGGATCCCCAGTTCCCCCTGTGGCCCCCCGGCCCCGGGCTCCCAGTGCTGCTGACAGCAGATCTGGGGATGAAGAGGACATCTTTCGTAGCAGGAGGTCATGATGGAGCCCACGGAGGGCTGGAGGGCAGGCTTCCCAAGCTGAGGGTCCCCCTCCTAGCACCCCTGGGCTTCCTAGTCCCCCAGGTTCATGGGGTGGCACAGCTGCACGAAGCCCAGGAAGGTCCCCACAGCTGCCCTTGGCGCTGGCTTTGCGATGACGGGTCTTGCCACGGCGATTCCGTCCTGGTGAGGGGGGACCCTTAGGACACCCAGGAAGACCCACCCCACTCAGGGCTGCATCTAGTTTTGGTAGCAAAGACTCAGTCTTGAGGATATCTGGCCTGGTGGGAGAGGGGAAGGACAAGTTTGAGATTAACAAATTTATCAACTGAAAGCATGCCCTAACCTTGGGCAGTGCACAAAGCACTTCTCTCCCCTTTCTAAATACAGTACCAGTCTTCCTGGCGTCCTTGACTCCTACTCCCTGCTTCTGCATCCCTCTTGCCAATTTTGAACCTCAGCACTTAACTCTGGTCTTACCTTTTGCTGTGGGGTGACAGCTTCTGTGGAACATTCCTCTTCTTGATGAGCTTCTCCATTGTGTTACCATGCAGGAGGCCCCTCGAAGGGTGTGACTTCAGCAGACCTGGGCACCTCCGCTCTAAAGCTTGTTCCCTCCTAAAGACACACACCACTTGAGTTGGGCATGTGACCAGGAAGGGGGACCCAGGCTTAGTAGCATCTGAGTCAGGCACAGCTTCATGAAAGTGGGATTAGGGTTGCATAAGGGCCGTATGGTTACCTGAGGAGCTCCCGCTCCTTAAGTTCCAGTTGCAACATAAGGGCATTAAGTTCCATGTACAGGTTGTTGGCTCTCTCCAGCTTCCGTTCATAGTGTTCCCTGATGTCCAAGGCATGTCTGAAATGAGCAGAAGGGTCCCTGAGGTTAGCTGGCTTCACCGGGTGCCATAATTGATCCCAGTCCCTGGGAACTGGTCCACGGTCCCTGCTGTTGCTGAAATCCCCTTTCCAAACACAGGCACACACCTGAGCTCCTCCCTCCTCCGCATCACCAGCTCCTCTTCTAGGCGGTGCAGACATGTCCCTTCTGACTTAATTTTTTCAAAATGCAGCTTTACCTCTTCACGCCACTCTGCCTGGGGGTGGAGAAATAATGAGGGGTGAGGAACATGAGAGTGAAGTACATGATTGATCAACACCAGGTCTCAGCCCCCCAAAGCACATTTATTCCAACCCAATCAACCCTTCCCAGCCTCCCCTCAAAGAGGGGGAGCTGAGGTGTTCATTTTCCTACCCACAGCACACCTGGGACTTAAAATAAGTCTCCTGGGGTGTGGAAAGGACATCTGCTGAGGCAATGTCTAGATGGAGCAGGATCTGTCGGAATGAGGGACGATTTCGTGGTTTGCTGTTCCTGGAGGGAATGGAGTTGCATTAGAGAAAGGAATTTGAGGGAGGACCAGAAAGGAATTAGGGCATCCTTTCTTAGTGTCCTCATGAATCCAATCCTAGAATGTACTCTGATAAAAGAATTCCCTAGTCTGTTATCTGTTAGCATATCAAAATCCTACAGCAAACCTATTCATTTTCAACTTGCTTGTCAAAACAGAACCTTTTCCCTAATGACTCCATTAAAAGAAACACACTTTGGGAAATGTTTAACCAAAGATTAGAAATGTTCAACCTTCCTTTGGGGTCTAGGTTCCAAATAAGGGACTAGGGCTCTTCCCTTCTGTGTTCTAAGAACTCTAGTGCTTGCCCATGGTCACAGAAAGCCTGTGTGGCTTTGAATCGAATGCACGCATGCAGCTTACTGATCAATCCACCTCTCATTTCTACATTGTCGTCCCCTGGATTCATGGTCTGAATCCTGGGGTCTTCAAGAGCCATATATGGCAACGCTGTCCCCTTTTCCCTGTTCAGGATTCTAGGCCTGAATGCCTGGATTCTACATGCTGGCTAACCATCAGCAATACCCCTTAGCTTCCCAGCTTTGCCAGGCCACTCTTACCAGCACTGGCGAAGCAGGATTTTGAAGCCATCTGGGCAGCTGGAGGGCACAGGCAGATGGAGACTGTTGCTTCCCACACCCCAGATGATGGCTGAGGAATCTACATCTTTGTAGGGAATCTCACCAGTCAGGAGTTCCCATAGCACCACGCCAAAGGACCTGGGGATTAGAGGGGACATCACTTGGGAGGCGATCCCTCCAAAGGACCTGCTTGCTACCAACACATCTCACTTGCACTCAGGCCCGGGAACCCCCCCCGCCCCCCACTCCCTATGCTGGCCACCTGCTATTTGCAGTCCTCAGCCTGGCCCTCACCAGATGTCGACCTTCTCAGACACAGGCTCGTTACGAATTACTTCAGGGGCCATCCAGGCTACTGTTCCTGCAAAGGACATCTTGGTGCTCTTGTCACTCAACTCCTTGGAAGTGCCAAAATCGGAGATCTTCACCACGTCGTCGTATGTGATTAGCATGCTGGTAAAGAGTGTAGTCAGCTGGGGTTTAAGGCCCCTCCACACACCTCATCCAGTGCAGCAACTCTACTTTTCTGTTAAATCATTTGGGACACCCAGAGGCAGGGGGCTCACCACAACCCTCCTGAGATAGGACTGTCCCTGGGAGGGTTTCTGAGATGGCCACATGGACGTAGGACAGGGTCTGGAAGCAGGGAGATGGCTACACTGATGTGGGTGGGGTTATCTGCAGGAGACCATGCACATCAGTGTCTCCCTGCTTGCTTGCTTACTCACTTGGGGGACTTGAGGTCTCTATGGATAATCTTGTGCAGGTGCAGGTAGTTCATGCCACCAGCGATGCCCATGGACCAGTCAACCAGCAAGGAAGGGGTGACAGGGCGGCCAGCCCGCAGTACCTCATACAGCTGGCCCTGGGCGCAGAACTCCATGAGGATACAGTAGCAGGGAGCCTGGGTGCACACACCCCTGGGGGCCAAACAGTAGTGTGAACCAGCCCAGTATACCTGGAACCCCATTCCCACCCATGCCATTTGGGTGTCTCCTTTAAAAAGGGTAGGGTAGCCCTAGCTGGTTTGGCTCAGTGGATAGAGTAGCCTGTGGACTGAAGGGTCCCAGGTTCGATTCCAGTCAAGGGCACATGCCTGGGTTGTGGGCTTGATCCCCAGTAGGGGGCGTGCAGGAGGCAGCCGACCAATGATTCTCATCATTGGTGTTTCTCCCTCTCCCTTCCTCTCTGAAATCAATAAAAATATATTTATAAAAAAATAAAAATAAAAAGGGTAGGGTAGTCCTAGCTGGTTTGGTTCAGTGGAGAGAGCATCAGCCTGTGGACTGAAGGGTCCCAGGTTTGATTCCAGTCAGGGGCACATGCCCAGGTTGCCAACTCGGTCCCCAATGGGGGGCATGCAGGAGGCAGCCGATCAGTGATTCTCATCATTGATGTTTCTATCTCTCCCTCTCCCTCTCTCAAATCAATAAAGATATATTTAAAAAAATAAAATATAAATAAAAAGGGTAGGGTAGCTCGGCCGGTGGGTCTCTGAAATCAATAAAAATATATTTATAAAAAAATAAAAATAAAAAGGGTAGGGTAGTCCTAGCTGGTTTGGTTCAGTGGAGAGAGCATCAGCCTGTGGACTGAAGGGTCCCAGGTTTGATTCCAGTCAGGGGCACATGCCCAGGTTGCCAACTCGGTCCCCAATGGGGGGCATGCAGGAGGCAGTCAGTCAATGATTCTGATAATTGATGTTTCCATCTCCCTTCCTCTCTGAAATCAATAAAAATCATTTTAAAAAAAATAAAAGGGTAGGATAGCCCCGGCCAGTGTAGCTCAGTCGATTGGAGCATCCTCCTGTGCACCAAAGGGTCGCAGGTTCGATTCTGGGTCGGGAGACATACCTGGGTTGTGGTTTCAATCCCCAGTCAGGCCACATCCAGGAGGCAACCGACCGCTGTTTCTCTCTTACATTGATATTTCTCTCCCTCTCATATCAATAAAAATATATCCTCAGGAGAGGATTAAAAAAAATTTATAAAAATATTTTTTAAAAGTAAATAAACAGGGTGGAGTAGATCCCTGCCACCCAAGTAGGTCCCTGCCCTCAGCATAGTATCCCCAACCCCTGCCCTGAACCTTACTTGAAAGTGATGATGTTGGGGTGCTTTAGCTTTCGCAGGTGCTTGATGTCAGTCTCCTTCAGATCCCGTACCTTCTTCACAGCCACCTCTTCCCCATGGAAACGCCCCAGGAAGACAGCACCCTGGGCTCCTGAGCCCACCCACTGCAGATCCAGGATTTCCTCAAAGGGGACCTCCCAAAGGTCTGTGGACAGGAGGCACAGTGCCACAAGGTTCAGAGAGAGCCACCCTCAGGGCCTTGTGATAGGCACAGGGGAGAGGATTGGGTCAGCTGAAATGACTCAAGGAGGGTGAGGTAAAAAAGTAGCCAAAATAGGTCAAGACGACTAGGTTTGGGGGGACAGGGAAGGCAATGAATGGGTGGCCTAAAAAAAAAGCTGGGAAGTCAGTAGCTGATGGATGGATAAGGAGCTTGGGCCAAGCTCAGGAGAGAGGGTCAACAGGTGAGTTAGATGGGATTGTCCAACAGATCTCAAGCTCAGGGAAACAGGGGGAGAGTCCCTGAGGACAAAGTGGACAAAGCCTACCTTCCTGCTGCTGCTTGTGCTCCGTGGAGTAGGCTTTGCCGATCATGGTCCAGACAGGGCGCAGGCAGCCAAAGAGGCCTTCCAGGAAGCCACTGCCGCTCTGGCACTGCAGCCGCACCTCATCTGCTCGAACTCTGGGCACCCGACTCTCAGGGGACCCAGCGGCTCCCCCTGGGCCTCCTGCATCCTGCTCATGTAGCTGCAGGACACTGTTGGCAAAAGGCTCAGGAGGTGGCTCTCCACCTGGGGAGGGGCTGGGTCCACCCCCGCCCTGCCCGCCCAGTGGCACTACATCTCGAAGTACACACTGGGTAGGCGTCAGGTCTTTCTCAGGGGTGCAGTCAGAAGTGTCTGGGTCCAGCTTGCGCATGGACGCCTCGCTGAGGGTGGATACGAAACCCCCAAAGGAAGGGGAGGGTGTTCGGGTCTCATGGAGGCAGGCCATGGCCTCTAGGCCCCAATGTGGCGGTGAGCGATGGGCCCTATGGGAACAAAGGAGGGAGAAATGGTCAAAGCCACAGGCGCGTCCGCTCAGAATGCTCACTCCAGTCACAGGCACAAGTTGGGGAGCTGGGCTCCTACTGGAAATAACATTTGAGTCTCACCTTCAGGTACCCATCCCCCTTCACAAGTTTCACCTGGGACCCATCTTAGGAAACCTGATACACAGGCTTCCACTAAAGTGTCTATTAGTAACACAAGTCTGAGAATGATACTCAGGTATACAGGTAACATACCTGAGTATCATCCTCACGTAGACACAGGTAACAGCCCTGCTCAGGTACTGGTAAAATATATCTCAAGTTCAAGTATTATGGTAACAGACTAGTCCCTTCTCCCTGTAAGATTACTGTAGTTTGCCTTAGGAGCACATATTTCTTTCACTTGAGGCTCACATGCACACACACATGTCATATAAGGGTCTCAGATATATATACCTTTTGAGTCTGAACCTTAGGCACCTAAAAGTAACACACCTAGGGCCCTTGCACTGAAGCACACAAAGGTGACAGTGATAATAACACTCAGTGCCACTCAAGCACTCTCAGGTGACATTTTCTGGCCTCACGCTCATGTACTTACACATGATACAGCTGAGGCGGTAGCAGGAACACTAAACTCAGGTGAGAGTATCTTGAGGCTCAGAGCTCACATCTGGTCTCCCGTGAGGGTGCTCAGAGATACACACCTGGGCTTCTTCCAGGTAAGTGAAGGCAGTAACCAATCACCTCCACTATCTCCCCAGCACAGTTGGGGAACAAGGCAGAACCATTCAATGGGGGTGCAGAAGCTGTGTCAGGACAAGTTCATCCTGCTTAGCCTCACCCCCATCAGTCCAGCTTCTCCCCCCAGGGGTCAGTTAGAGTAAACCCTGTCTCCTCTTTCTCCACGGCCTCATTCCCAGATCCCCAAACCAAGACCCAGCTTTCTAGACAATGAAGTTATGTCCCAATCCATAGCTGGATGCGACTTAAAAAGCAATCATTAAGAACTCTGAATCCTGGCCTTGCTTCTGCCACTAACTGGCTGTGTGACTTCAGGCAAGCTGTATTTGAGCCTCAGTTTCTCCAACTGTACAAAGGGTAAACTAGCTACCAATTCTGCACCCTGTACCAAACTTGTCCAGAGCTTGACACAGGGGGTCATTCCAGTCGCCCGTCTCCTTCCACATACAGTTACCAAATCCTGTGATATGAAGGTTCCTGAGGACAGCAATCCTCTCATTGTTCCTTAACCCCCTGCACCAGAACCTGAGTCACATCAGGAGAGGGATGTCAGGAATCTACACATAGAGAGAGCTCACTAGAATCAGTGATGGCGAACCTTTTGAGCTCGGCGTGTCAGCATTTTGAAAAACCCTAACTTAACTCTGGTGCCATGTCACATATAGAAATTTTTTGATATTTGCAACCATAGTAAAACAAAGATGAATATTTTTGATATTTATTTTATATATTTAAATGCCATTTAACAAAGAAAAATCAACCCAAAAAATGAGTTCATAGGTTCGCCATCACTGCACTAGATAATGACGCAGATCAACATGGACGTCTGGCATCTCTCAAAGCCTTTTTCAGTGGGTGTGTGGTGGACCCAGAATCTGTGTATAGAACAAGCACCTCAGATGATTCTTGTACCTGACATGTTTAAAAAGTTCTGACGCAATGCCATTCTACTCTTTCTTCTTTACTCCCACTTTACTACTTAATTCAGGCTTTATTAGCTGTGTCACCTGACCCAGGACAACTGCCTCTTAAATGGTTTCCAAGTTCTTCCAAAGCCGCCGAGCCCCCCCGCCCCCGCCCATTCTCCACCAGCCTTTAAAACAACTTTTTTCTCTTTTAAATCCTCACCCGAGGATATATTTACTGATTTGAGAGAGCAAGAGTTAGGGAAGAAGAGGGAGAGAGAAACATTGATCGGTTGCCTTCTGTACCCACCCGATGGGGGATTGAGCTGAAAACCCAGGTATGTGCCCTGACCAGGAACTGAAGTCAAAACGTTTTTGGGTGTATCAGACAATGCTCCAAACTAAAAGTTGGCTAGCAACCCCTCTTCTGCTTCAAACCCTTTAGTATGATCCACTGCATTTGGTCCACCTGCCTTACCTCTGAGCTCTGGCCCCTGCCCAGCCTCATCTCCCACTGCTATTGGTACCCACCCAAGCCATACACAACTGAGTTGAGAATGGCTAACTCTCATGGAAGGCTTACTATATATGTCAGCCTCTGTCATAGACACATTAGCTCACTTAATGCTCAAAGCTCTATGGTAGGCATCCTTTGCCCATTTGACAGAGGTATTATTAACCTGCCCAAGAAGCTAGGAAGAGGCTCAGAATCGGTCCCCAGGTGTGCTCTCGAGCCGGATCTCTTGCTCTCTCATCTCACTTCATCCTGGAAGTCTTCCTCCCTGTCCCTGCTGCTGTGGCACAGTCCCCTGTGCTTCTGTCATGGCTCCCATTACCCAGGCCGCATGTGATAGGGCGCCTGGCTCCTCTGAGAGCTATGATTTCACATGGGATCGATCCCGGGGCCTCAAACAGCACCAGGTGCTCAGTAAGATGGGGCCACTGTTCTACTCACCCCAGAGGAATGTCTTACTACACTTCGCACCTACACTACCTATCACTCCTCAGAACCAGCCAGCGAAGGAAATATTACCACTGGCCCCTTTATATTCCTGAGAAAGCAGGTGCAGAGAGCTGAAATCACAGTCAGGTCCAGCCTCTGAATCCCCAACATATCCCACGAGATGAGCGCCTTCAATGGGTTAGATGTACACTACAATGCAAATGACAAACACAGGCCAGTGTGCCGCAGAATTCCCCTTGGAGCAGTGGTTCTCAACCTTCTGGCCCTTTAAATACAGTTCCTCATGTTGTGACCCAATCATAAAATTATTTTCGTTGCTACTTTATAACTATAACTAGAGGCCCAGTGCATGAATTCGTGCATGGGTGGGGTCCAGCTGGCCTGCCCTGATCAGACTGATCAGGCTGGACCAGCCAAGGGGAGGGGCCGTGGGTGGTTGGCCGGCTGGCCCCGCCCACTGGTTGAACTCTCAGGATGAACTCCCAGTCAAGGGGACAATTTTCATTTTAGCCTTTTATTATATAGGAGGTTGCTACTGTTATGAATCGTAATGTAAATATCTGATATGCAGGATGGTCTTAGGCGACCCCTGTGAAAGGGTCATTTGCCCGCTAAAGGGGTCACGACCCACAGGTTGAGAACCGCTGCGCCTGGACGGTCTGAGGGCTGCCACCAGCGCCCTCAAACGGGGCTTCCCTTCCGAACCCCTGAGAAGACAGGCGGGAGCTCCCTGGCAGGCCAGCAGGGCAGGACGGCGGGGTGGGCGTTGGAGGAGGAGCCAAGACCACTTGCTGGCCCGCTAGAAGCCCAAACGAGGCGGAGAGGAAGGGGTTACGGCCCCCCCCACCCCCCCTTCCCGGTCGTCACGTGACTCGTGGCTGCGGTCGGAGGCCCGGCAGCGGGAGGAGGGGGTCCGGGTCGGGAAGGGGAGGGGACACAGCAGGTTGAGGAAAGCGCTGGGCGCTGCGGCGTAACCATGACGACTGGGCCCGAGGCGGCGCGTGAAGTCACCGGGACCAGATTAGCCCTGAGTCACGTGAGCAGCGACGCGGGGGTGGGGCTGCGCCTCGCCCCGCCCCCGCCCCCGCCCCCAGCTGGCCCACGTGCAGCTGCCGGCTGCTTCGGTGCCCCTCACCTGCCCTGCCTCCCTCTGCCCCTCATTCAGATCTTCGGCGCAAGCGGAGGAGACTGATGCTGGAGAGTGGACCTAGTTTGGCAGGGCGGGTGCAGTGTCACAGAGGAAGCAGGAACTCGGGAGGAAGGGAGAACCAACACCGAAAGGACAACAGGCACAGCCAGAGAGGGAGGGACAAGTTGAGAGACAGACCGAAACAGCGTGAAGTCAGGGAGAGTCAAACCTGAGAAGAATGGATTGAAAAACTGACTTTGAAAAGCAGAGAAGACACTGAGAAAAAGGAGAGCAAAAGGGACTGACTGAAGAACAGGATGATTCGTTTTCTGTTTAGACGCTGAGCCTTCAGTAGGCACAACACCTGGCTTTTAAAAGGAAAATTTCAGCCTTCATTTGGCGTTTGGCAACTAAGAGGTTCAGGCATAGAGAGGGTGACATGAAGCCCAGCCTCTCTCCAGTTCACCAGACTTCCCCAGAGACCCTCTGGTATCCAGGGCCAGCAGCTGGGGAGAGAGGGAGAAGCCATTTCACCTGTTTGTCTTTCAGGGCAGTGGGAGCAGCTGAAGAAAAAGATGGGACTAAGGGAAAGGGAGGGAATCTATCCAGGCTCAATCCACCCTCGCCCTGTTCTCAGGCTAATGACTACTCTTCCAGATTGACCTGAAGGGGTGAAGCTCCAGGGAGCTGTAGTAAATGGGAGATTTCTCTCTAGCAGCACACCCCCCGCCCTTCTGTTTCCTTTCTCTCTGACCTGCCAGCT